TCACTCACTTCTCCCTCCTCCTCAACTACCTCTTAACTAGGCATTTCCTCATTCAGGGGTACATCATCCCTGTCTCCCTCTCCTCCTTAAACTGCTGGAGACAAGGGGGAGGTGAAACTCCCCCCCTTCCTCTTCTGAGAGGAGCATTTCCCATTCCTCCTGTTCAGCCAGTGTGGTGTAGTGGTTAAGAGCGGTAGACTCCTAATCTGGGGAACCGGGTTCGCGTCTCCGCTCCTCCACATGCAGCTGCTGGGTGACCTTGGGCCAGTCACACTTCTTTGAAGTCTCTCAGCCCCACTCACCCCACAGAGTGTTTGTTGTGGGGGAGGAAGGGAAAGGAGAATGTTAGCCGCTTTGAGACTCCTTAAAGGGAGTGAAAGGCGGGATATCAAATCCAAACTCTTCTTCTTCTTCTTTTTCAGCCCAGTTCCTGACACAGAGCCTCTGAGAGCGAAGGAATCTCCAAGAAGACCCCCTCTACTGAACTCAGCACCCAAGCAAGTGTGTAGGGAACATTAGGGGCCAAGATTAATAATAATAATAATAATAATAATAATAATAATAATAATAATTTATTTATACCCCACCCAGCCACTCTGGGCAGCTTCCAACAAAATATTACAATACAATACTGCATCAAACATTAAAAGCTTCCCTAAACAGGGCTGCCTTCAGATGTCTTCTAAAAGTCTGGCAGTTGTTTTTCTCAGGTGGGAGGGTGTTCCACAGGGCAGGCACCATTGCCGAGAAGGCCCTCTGCCTGGTTCCCTGTAACCTCACTTCTCGCAGTGAGGGAACTGCCAGAAGGCCCTTGGAGCTGGACCTCAGTGTCTGGGCAAAATGATGGGGGTGGATACATTCCTTCCGGTATTGTGGACCGAGGCTGTTTAGGGCTTTAAAGGTCAGCACCAACACTTTGAATTGTGCCCGGCCCCTTTGCTCACCCAATAAAATATTTGATGGGGCCAGGCCCCTCAAAAGTTGATGAGCATTGACATTCAAATAGTGTGTGTCTTGTGATCAATTATTTTGTTCAAGTTGGCACCCCTGGTAAGGAAGGTGGCAATCGTTTGGATATTTGGGGTCTGAGTTGTTTAGGGCTTTAACCACTGATGCAAGGACCTTCAACTGAGCCCAGGAATGAACTGGCAACCAGTGTCACTGTTTTGAAATGGCGGTTATGTGAGATCTGAAGCGAACCTGAGCCAGTAAGCAGACTGCTTCATTTTGGACCAACTGAAGTTTCTAAGTTGTCTTCGACGGCAGCCCCCACATACATCACATTGCAATAATCCATAGTGGAAGTTACCAGAGCATGGAATACAATGTATACCTGAGTAAAATATGCTCTTTGGAGATGGCAAATGAAGTGAATTGGGATGGATGACGCTCTCTATCTCCATTTGCCTTCATACCCGCAAAGAAGGCTCATGAGACAAAGCCTTGGAATAATGGTTATATTTATTAATCTAGGAGCTTGGAGGAACTGCAGAGGAAATTAACTGAATTCATAAAGGCTTAACAGGTGAGGGTTTCAATGAACTCTGGTTAAAAAAATTGGAAATTGTAGAACACATACAAAGTACACATTTCCTATAAAAGAGACACAAAACTGCATCTCTCCAGACTCCGGGACATAAGATGTGGCTGTGGCTCCCTAGCTAAGGATTAGGAGGAAATGCCTTCCTCCTCACTAGGTGAGCTTTTAGGTATGAACCCTGTGTACTCAGGGCCCACTGTCCAGCATTCACCCAAATGTTCATGTCAGGCCCAAAGGGCACCCCTCATATGGGCCTGGGCTCTGGTATCGGCAGCCCCTCCTCTTCCTTGCTTGCTTTCCAGCAGCTGCTACAAGCTGCCCAAAGGATGAGGCCAACAGCGGTGGCCGTGGAGACACAATGGTCACTGCTGCAGCCACCACTTGGGACAAGCACCGGCTCATCTTCTTCCCTGAGCTTGGTGGCAGCGGCATTGGCGGGGGAAAGAAGGGCATTCCAGGATCAGATCAGAAGCTGGGATGGCTTTCATAATTCCAGGTGTGATGGCCTGGGACTCGGGCTCAGACTCTGAACCAGAGGAGTCTCAGTCCACACCGTATCCTTTGCCTCAGGCAGCATCTGAACCAAGTCTGGGGCCTGATTCTGAAGAGCCCCAGTCTGCACAGGTTCCCCTGCAACAAGCACCAGCTGGGCTGAGTCAGGGGCCTGAGCCTGCCGTGGCTCCAGATGTGGGGATTACCTTGTTGCCTCCAGTTGGGCCATCACTTACAGCTGCTCCACTACTGGTTGGGTCAGGAGGGGCTGAGGAGGCCCCTGGGTCTAGTAACCCACCGACGTCTCCCGAGCTGCAGAAACTAAGGTCAGAGAGAAGGAGGGACCTGAGTACTTGCAGGAGGAGTGCTCGCCTTTGGGCAAAACAGGGAGGTGAGTCGCCAGGGGATCAGGACCGGCCGCTACCCCGACAAAGATAAAAGGCTGTCAGACCCCGCCCCAGGTTGCAGGAGCAACATTGCTGTATGCCAGATCCTGCCTGCGATCCTGTGCCTGACCCTGCCTGGTTTCCTGCCTCGTGTCCTGCCTTGGCCCTGTCGGACTGACTCCCAGTGGAACCCTTGGATTTGGGACCGGACCTGGACCACGTTGCTTGGGTTACCCCCGGGCCCAGCACACCGGGGCTGTCCCTAGAAAATCAGGACACTTGGAAGGTATGGGAGAATGAGCTTGGGGAGAGAGAGGCTAATAAAACCAGGCTCCAACCCCTCCCCCAATAGCCTGAGGTCTCACATGGTCACACTTCTACCCCTCCCTTTGGGAGCACAACTCATAAGAGAAGAGGCTGAAGGCAAACATGTCTACAATTCTATGATTCTATGTCCCCTCTGTAAGAGCAGGAATGACATTCTCTCAAATCCCCATTTGTTCCAATCTTAATAAGGCCGTAGCCAGGTTTAATCAGCAATTTGCTGTGCATTTTGCCATATAATCACGTTTTTAATGCAAATTCGCCTCATGTGCACATTTTTGCAAGCAATTTCCCCCAGTACGGTGTGCATCTATATGTCATTTTCACTAGTTTATGAATCTTCACACACACTTTCCCATAATATATTCATTTTTGCAGCCTTTTTTTGGTGGGGGGCAGTTTGAGGAATAGCAACATTGGGAGGAGTGTGAATCTCATCAAAAGACATTTTGGTTCATGTATCATTTTGGGAAGTGTGGATGAAGCAGGAGGGCCTAAAATTGTGAACTGAACTGAACTCCCCCCCCCCCCGTCCAATTGCTGTCATGGAATGTCAGGCTGGACAAGCCCATCAACATCTGAATGCTGTAAAACGAAAACTTTGTTCTAATGTCCCTTTCCCCCTCTTCTTGGCTACGTTAGCAATTTTCTCCGGTAGTATGTAAGGGTGTGTGTGTGTCTAGCCTCTTGATGCAAAGATACACAATTATGGGAATGTGTTTGAACAATATGATATGGCTGCACTGAGAGATGTTATGTGTGGCTAAACTGTGATGCTGGAAGTCTTTGCCAAAGACAATGAAGCAATCTGATTTCCTTCCAAAAAGAGGGAGGGGATGAGGAAAGAAATAAGTTTGTGTGTCTGTGTGTTGTAGGGGAAGGAAATCTTATTGATTTACGATCTGCTGCACATCCCATTATCAAGGTCCTGGTTTAAGAAAATTCCAAAATTTGACATCCATCCACTGTACGACAATGCAAGGACTACTTCTGGAAATGCCGCCCAGGGAACGAGGCATAAATCCAAGTGTTATCTCCATAAAAGGACTATTGAATTACATGGCACAATAGGGACATAAATATATAACTGCTTTGCAGAATATGGCTGGAAAGGGAGCCCCGAAGCACTCTTTGCACAATGGCAGAACATTACTCCAAATGCATCACCAGAAAGCAAAGGACGAGAAATGAATCATGCTGCATGTGTGCTTGTCAAGTTAAGAGGCAGCCCTGTTGTTGCCCCATAAAACGGTAAGGAAAGTCCTGCTGGATCAAGCCAATGGCCCGTCTAGTCCAGCATCCTGTTCTCACAGCGGCCAACCAGATGACCGTGGGGAATGCACAAACAGGACCTGAGCATCATAGCCCCCTCCCCACCTGTGGCTTCCAGCAACAGTTATTCAGAAGCACCGCTGCTGTCCGCCATGGAGGCAATAATATCGAAGGCAACACAATGACCAAGTACAACAATGCGATGTCAATATAAACTCTTTATATAATCTGTACAAAACATTGAACAGTATAAAATATATGAAATATGCACTCTCTGCAAAACCAAATAAACAGAAATCTTATAAATCTCTGAAAGTCGCAAAATAACATAATGATGGCTGACTGGGAACAGTTATGGACCACAGGTATGAAATTTACGGCATGTAATGCTCTAAGAGAAAACTTAATGAAAATGATTTATAGGTGGTACATGACACCAGTCAAGCTTGCAAAAATCTACCATTTGCCCGATAATAAATGTTGGAAATGTAACGAGACTGAAGGCACATTCTTTCACCTTTGGTGGACATGCCCAAGGATTAAGACATTATGGGAGATGATTTATAACGAAATGAAAAAGGTATTCAAATATACCTTCCTGAAGAAACCAGAGGCCTTTCTCCTGGGCATGGTCGGCCAATTGGTGACAAAGAAGGATAGAACTTTCTTTATGTATGCAACAACAGCAGCAAGGATACTCATCGCAAAATATTGGAAGACACAAGATTTACCCACCCGGGAAGAATGGCAGATGAAGTTGATGGACTATATGGAATTGGCGGAAATGACTGGCAGAATCTGAGACCAGGGAGAAGAGTTGGTGGAAGAGGATTGGAAAAAAATTAAAGATTATTTACAGAAATACTGTAAAATCAATGAATGTTAGAAAAATGTTGGAATGAAGTTACATGGCTTTAGTAGAAATGTTATAAGGAATTAAGTATAAATAGATTAATAGAGTATTAAAGGAAAAAATAAGGTTAGAATGAGTTAAGATAATTATAGGATAGAAAACAGAGGAAGATGGAAAGGAATTGCTGAAATAATTAACAGAAGTGGAATACAAAAAGGGAGGCGTGAGGAGGTCGTGGAAATGAAAGTGAATGAAAGATGGGATAATGAAATTGTTTGATTTATTTTATTGTTTCTGTTTTGTTTGGTTAGTTTAATGTATTGTATTGTATTGTGTGTTTGTTTTTTTAGTGTTTAAGTTTTTTGGAAAAGTAATAAATATTATTTTTTTTAAAAAAAATGAAAGTCGCAAAATAGGCACCCTTGATGGATTCTCTTGAAAACATAGAACCAAATAAACATAAGACTTATAAGTCTCTGAAAGTCTTTGTGGACTATGCAAGTCTCTGAAAGAAGCAATGGGTCAGATTCTTATCTGGTGAAAACAAGCAGTTTTATGATGTCCAACACTGCCGAAGTGGTCCTCAAACAGACGTAGCAAACAGTGATTCCGGATATACCCACTGTTTCGTGGAATTCTTCAGCAGCACAGCAGAAGGATGCAGAAATGCTTCATAAACCCATCTATATGGTGAATGGAATTGTATATCAACAATTGCTATGGGACAGTGGTCATAAAGTTATGGAGGCAGAGCATAGCCAGAGCATGAAGCCATCAAGAGTCTCATCCTCCATGCATCCATGTAACCCTCCTTTATTTATTTTTTTAAATAATTTTTATTAAGAATTTAAACAAAACATATTGTCTTAATACATATCATCCTTGATTCCCCCCCACCCCACCCCATAAAATAACCCCCTCCCCTCCCCCCCCGACTTCCCTCAGCTCCAATCTCTGGTTTCTCTATGAATGCTATTATCTCCATATTACAAAACTGTATAGATCCTTAGTTTATCTGACTGGTTATTGTCAATAAAAAGTTTGTGAGTGTTTATTCAAAACCTGCCAAGGAGCGTTCACTTTGTTGTTTCTTTAAATACTTTGTAAAAGGTTCCCATTCATCTTTAAAGTCACAGGTATCCTTATCCCGTAGTTTATGTGTATATTTTGCCAATTCTGCGTAGTCCATCAGTTTCTCTTGCCATAGTTCTTTAGTCGGGGTTTCCTCGTTCTTCCATCCTTGTGCTATTAAGACTCTCGCCGCTGTTGTCGCATACATGAAGATATTTTTCAGCTTCCTTGGCAGGTCTTTTCCTAACAAAATGCTTCAGATTCCTTAACAAATGTTAGATGGAACATTTTCTTCAGTTCATTGTATATCATTTCCCAAAACTTTTAAATTTCATTACAATCCTACCACATATGATAAAATGTCCCCTCCTTTTCCTTACACTTCCAACACATATTTGAACTAGTTGTATACATTTTCCCTAACTGCACTGGAGTCATATACCATCTATACATCATCTTCATATAGTTTTCTTTCAACAAAGAACAATCTGTAAATTTTAAGTCAATTTTCCATAACCTTTCCCAATCTTCCAACATAATGTTATGACCTATATCTTATGCCCATTTAATCATGACTGATTTTACCTCTTCATCTTTCGTCTCCCATTCTAGCAGTATGCTATATGCAGCCTTCAATGGTTTCCCTTTCCCTTCAATCATTTGAAACCCAGATCTTGTATAACTGAATCCTTTCTTACTCTCTTCTTTATATGTTTTGTATAGTTGTCGATAGTGCAACCAACTCTGAAAATGATCTCATCATAATCTCTTAATTTCCATTTTCCATCATGATCCTTTAATAAGTCAACATATGTAAGCCATTTTCCTTTCTTTCCAAGTGGTTTGAGCAGTAATGCTTCATGTGGTGAAAGCCATCAAGGAGTCTTTTGTTCTAGCAAATCTTTGTATCTCTCCCATACTCTCATTAATGATTTCCTAATTATATGGTTATAAAAACTTCTATGAACCTTTATGTAACCCTCCTTTAAAGCCACCAGGTTGGTGGTCACCACTGGCCTCTGCAGGAGCAAGTTCCATAGTTTAACTGCATGAAGAGGATCTTCCTTTCACCTGTCCTGAATCTTCCAACCTTCAGCTTTATTGGCTGTCCACAAGTTCTAGTGTTATGAGAGGGAGAGAAGAACTTTCCTCTATTCACTTTCATTATGTCATGCATGATTTTGTCACCTGTTAGTCCCCTTTTCTCGAAACTTAAAAGTCCCAAACACTGCAACCTTTCCTCTTGGGGTAGGTGGTCCATCCCCCATTGAACTCTGCCTTTTAGTGCCGAAGCTGTGATTTGGGGAAGGGCTGTAGCTCTGTGGCAGAGCATCCGCTTTGCCCGCAGAAGGTCCCAGGTTCACTCCCCAGCAACTCTAGATTGGGATGGCAGAGACTTCCTGTCTGAAACCATGGAGAGCTGCTACCAGTCAGTACAGATAATTGGGTTGTGGGTGGCGCTGTGGTCTAAACCACTGAGCCTCTTGCAGTTGCCGATCTGAAGGTTGGCGGTTCGAATCCCTACGACGGAGTTAGCTCCCGTTGCTCTGTCCCAGCTCCTGCCAACCTAGCAGTTCGAAAGCCAGTGCAAGTAGATGAATAGGTACCCCTGTGGCGGGAATGGAAACGGCATTTCTGTGTGCTCTGGTTTCCGTCACAATGTTCCGTTGCACCAGAAGCTGTTTAGTCATGCAGCCCACATGACCCAGAAAGCTGTCTGTGGACAAACGCCGGCTCCCTTGGCCTGAAGTGAGATGAGCACCGCAACCCCATAGTTGCCTTTGACTGGACTTAACTGTTCAGGGGTCCTTTCCCTTTCCCTTTTTACAGGTAATATTGAGCTAAATAGACCAATAGTCTGGCTCTGTATCCTATGATATAGAGATAATGCTGTGTTTGGACTTTATATGAAGAACTTACACTTGGTCTTGTGCGTTTGTGCTGTTCTCTGCAGTGTTTGAAATGAAATTGGTCTCTCATATGGTTTTACTGGTAATAGTATTGCACATCTGTTGAAGCATGTTTATTGTTAAACTGCTTTAAAAATTATTCTTTTTCTTGAAAAGCATTCTATAGATTTTTTAAAACCCCAGCACCAACTTGCAATGTCACAACAGATATGAGCAGAAAGGCCATAAACAGCTTTCCAGTGTATTGTGTTTCTAGACTTCACCAGTTTGTGGAATAGAGGTGTAACATTTTTAAATACTACCCTACAATGTAAAGTGGGGAGATCCCTTCACATATAACCCAGCCAGATGGATGGGGTATAAATGATAAAAATATTATTATTATTATTATTATTATTATTATTATTATTATTAGAAGAAGAGTTTGGATTTGATATCCCGCCTTTCACTCCCTTTAAGGAGTCTCAAAGCGGCTAACATTCTCCTTTCCCTTCCTCCCCCACAACAAACACTCTGTGAGGTGAGTGGGGCTGAGAGACTTCAGAGAAGTGTGACTGGCCCAAGGTCACCCAGCAGCTGCATGTGGAGGAGCGGAGACGCAAACCCGGTTCCCCAGATTACGAGTCCACCGCTCTTAACCACTACACCACACTGGCTCTCAAAATGTTATAAACTTTGGCTCTGGGAAACAGCAATTAACTTAGCCTCCCTGACATATTTCTTCTGTATGTGTAAGCAGCTATAGGTATTTAAAGATTAGCTCCTGCACCACTTGCAATCTTAATTGGTACATTCCAATAAGCGTTTCCCCACATGATTTCCTGGTTGGGCAGAACTGATAGGTTCCCGATTATTTTCATTAAAATAAAATAAAAAGACCTACAGAATGTAAACAGCCAAAGTTGGAGTTTCTTCAGAATACATTTTTCTTATTAGGGAAAATGATACCTTCCACCAGGCAAATTAGTACGGAAGTGATATTAAAAATGTCACGTCTTTAATGAGGATGTTGAATTGTGGCACATCATAAGCACTGTTACAATTTGTGAATAAGATTAAAAAGAGGAGGGGGGGGACACCTTTGATGTAATGCTATTACCCTGAGTACTTGAAAGTGATCAAATTATGATCCATCAAAGGAAGAAATGGTTAGAACTCCATAGCAGAGAGAGAGAGAGGGGTGCACATCCACACACTTCAAATGAGCATGAAGATTGCTCATTTTAATAATTCACACTTCCTCATTCCAATCTAACAGCAGGTCCACTGAAACCTGTGAAGTGCTTGAAGAAATTAAATGGACCAAACAATCTGAAATCGCTTCCTCCAAGCCTACAATGAATACACTTTTTTTGATCACTAGTTTGAAAGTATGCTCCTTGCTCCAGAGACAATAGCATGGTCAACTCCATTCTGTTGGACAGTGGAGAAGTTGCTCTGTCAACAAAGTGGGGTTGGATGCAAGATTTGATGGGAATGGGAGAGTTCCTGCTTGAGTGGAGCTTGGCGGGTGCTAATTGGAGCCTCATGACTGCACACTCTGTGAATGGTGGGAAATGAGGGCCACACTCATTCCATGAGCACAAAAAAACTGCCCTGATATTGTTGACTTGTTAAGCGAAACGAGGTGTGCAGCAGATTGTGCAAGAACTAAGCAGGTATCCCATTACTGCCACCACAACTACAGTGTAAGTCAGATTGCTATGTTAGTGGGAGGTCATCATGCACTTCTCCCTGTTTTTAAGAGAGCTGGTGAGCAGGACAAATGTTTGTTGGAAATGCAGGGAAGCTGAAGGCACATGGATCCACATGTGGTGGAACTGTAAAAAGATCAGACAATTTTGGGAAATGATTTATAACGAGCTTAAGAAAATGTTCAAAAGCTCCTTCCCTAAAAAAACCTGAAGCCTTCCTGCTAGGAATTATGTGTAAAGAAATCCCCATAAAGTTCAAGAGAGTCTTTATGTATGTTACAGTTGCTGCCAGAATTCTAATCGCAAAAGGCTGGAAGGGAGAGGATATTCCATATAATTTGGATTGGCAAAACAAGATAAGAGAGTTTGCTGAACTGGCAAGATTATCAGCAAGGTTAAAAGACATTACAGATGAAAAATTTATCAGAGAATGGGCTATATACAGAGTATATATCTAATCTTAAGGAAATCAACCCTGAGTGCTCATTGGAAGGACAAATCCTGAAGCTGAGGCTCCAATACTTTGGCCACCTTATGAGAAGAGAAGACTCCCTGGAAAAGACCCTGATGTTGGGAAAGATGGAGGGCACAAGGAGAAGGGGATGACAGAGGACGAGATGGTTGGATAGTCTTCTCGAAGCTACCGACATGAGTTTGACCAAACTGCGGGAGGCAGTAGAAGACAGGAGTGCTTGGCGTGCTCTGGTCCATGGGGTCATGAAGAGTTGGACACGAATAAACGACTAAACAACAACAACAACAATATGTAAAAGAACACTGTCAAAAGATCGATCCATTGGCAGGTCTTGATTGAGCTTCGGTGCGTAAGTAGGATAATTTTATAAAATAAAATTTATAGTAAGTCAAATAACATGGAGAAAGTAAAGTTTAAGCGTGTATTTGAGGAACTTAATTAGGGAATGCAAGGGGAAGATCGGAGGTCTTGTCAAATTTAACCACAAATGGATGTACAAAGCAAGTACAGTGGTACCTCGTGTTAAGTACTTAATTCGTTCCGGAGGTCCGTTTTTAACTTAAAACTGTTCTTAACCTGAAGCACCACTTTAGCTAATGAGGCCTCCTGCTGCCGCCGGAGCATGATTTCTGTTCTTATCCTGAAGCAAAGTTCTTAACCTGAAGCACTATTTCTGGGTTAGCGTAGTCTCTAACCTGAAGCGTATGTAACCTGAAGCGTATGTAACCCGAGGTACCACTGTATTAGTTAAAGAATGTTTTTTTCCTTATTTTGCCTATAACATCCATTGTATATTTCTGTTATAAAGTTTTCAACCAATAAAGCATTTAAAAACTGGAAAAAGAGAAGAGCTGGTGAGCTGTCCAGCAAAAAAAATAATCCTGAAAGCAAGGCAGGATAAGATACTGCGTCCCCAATAGCCAGGCATGATGGACTTGCTGTTCATATTTGGTTGTCCTCCTCTGCATATGTTCCAGCTTTTCAATAGCCTTCTCAAACCATGGTGCCCAGAACTGGAAACACTACTCCAGGTGTGGTCTGACAAAGAAAGAATAGAGTGGTAATATAACTTCCCTAGGTCCAAAGGTCTGTATAGTTAAAGCTATGGTTTTCCCAGTAGTGATGTATGGAAGTGAGAGCTGTGAAGTGAGAGAAGCGAAGGCTGATCGCCAAAGAATTGATGCTTTTGAATTATGGTGTGGAGGAGACTCTTGAGAGTCCCATGGACTGCAAGAAGATCAAACCTATCCATTCTGAAGGAAATCAGCCCTGAGTGCTCACTGGAAGGACAGATCCTGAAGCTGAAGCTCCAATACTTTGGCCACCTCATGAGAAGAGAAGACTGTCTGGAAAAGACCCTGATGTTGGGAAAGATGGAGGGCACAAGGAGAAGGGGACAACAGAGGACGAGATGGTTGGACAGTGTTCTTGAAGCTACCAGCATGAGTTTGACCAAACTGTGGGAGGCAGTGGAAGACAGGAGTGCCTGGCGTGCTCTGGTCCATGGGGTCACGAAGAGTCAGACATGACTAAACGACTCAACAACAACAACAACATAACTTCCCTTGGTTGTAACATAAGACATCTGTTGATGCAGCCTAGAACTGCACTAGCTTGACTGAAATGTACTGCAGTTTTGTAACAATTCCCACCTCACTTTTACCAACATCAAACAATGATTCCCTTGCATGTCCCCTGTATCTATATTTGCTTTCTCTTTCGCCTCCAATGCTTTTTCTTCTGCAATCTCATTCATTAAAGAGCAAATGAAGCTGTCGTAATCGAGGCTGATCCCCGATTACAATAAATTTATTTTGACACAACCTTTAATAAATTGAAAAGAGGAAGTGCCAAAAAAAGCAGCCTGATCTACATCTCTCTGGTAAAGTATCCTCATCTCCTTTGACATCTGCACATTCCTGTTTGCATCAAAAGTCAATGTTTCTCAACTCTGCAGGAAGCTGTTTAGCATAGAGTCAGCAAATTCACTTTAGATGTGACTTTGCTACCAAAAGCTGCCATTTGGAGAATAAGGAAATGGAACATTATAGCTTGAATGAGGCCAACTGAGGGCGAAGAGGAGATTACAAAATTTTATATTGTTTTCCGTAGTTTGTATGGCAATAGGCTAAAATGAAAGTAGGGGCCTTGCTCTATTTAACCCTGCTGGTGCCTCCCACAACCCCTGCCTCCCATTGTAAAATGGGGTCAAGGTTCTCCTAATATAGATATTTCTCTATGCAATTTTGCCCAATATACAGATATTTGCCAATAATTTCTCCTTAACATGATGCATTTTT